TTTTTCGCAAGTTTAGACGTACTTTGCTATATCTCAGAACATACCTGGCCAGTAAAACCGCCGGGCTATGCGAGCAATTGTTTTTGCTATTCCCAGGTGGTCTGCGGTGGGTTCATCATGAAATTTCTTTGTAATTTCTATTCTCTCTTCTTTCGGTATACATTCTTTCCACTGATCCTCTACCCTTGTTTCTTTAAAGTCAAGGTCGTGGACAATGTGTCTTAACAGCTTTTCCTCTTGTACTTTATAGTCTGGTAGCGAAGTTGGGTTTTTAGCCACCTGGGATCTTAATTTTTGGTACCATTGATACTTTGGCGTTGCAAGGCTGCACACTTGCGATTGCCTGAACAGGGCATCGGCGACCGTGTTAAGATTGCCTCGGCGATATTGTATATCGAAATTATAATGCTGTAGTTCAATTAGCCACCTTGCAAGTCTTTCGGTTGGCGCCTCCAATTTTTGCAACCACCGGAGGGATTGGTGGTCCGTTATGACTGTAAATCGGTATCCCTCCAGGTAGTCTCGGAAGCGCCTTATTCCCCATACTACGGCGAGGCATTCTAACTCAGTCGCGCTATAATTTCGTTCGGCCCTGTCCAATGTTTGGCTTGCGTACGCGATTACTCTTTCCTCGCCGTCTAGTTGCTGCGTAAGTACGGCTCCCAGACCCTCCGTACTGGCATCGGTTTGGACGACAAATTTTTGTGAGAAGTCAGGACATGCTAACACTGATGTTGTTGTCAATTTGGTTGTCAATCCCCGGAACGCGTCTTCCTGTTCTTTTCTTCACTCCCATTTTGCATTTTTGCGGAGTATCTTTATGAGTGGGGCGGTGAGCGTGGAAAAAATTTAGTATAAATCGTCTATATCATGATGCTAATCCGACGAACTGCCTGACCTTTCTCACGGTATTTGGGGCCGGCCAATTTTTTATTGTGTTAATTTTTTCAGGGTCCGTTTGGATCCCTTTATTGTTGACAATATGTCCTAAGTATTTTAATTTTTCTACATAAAACCGGCATTTGTCTTTATTAATTTTTAACTTTGCGTTACGAAGTCGGTGGAACACCTCCGTGAGGTGTTTTATATGTGTGTTTTATATTTCTTTAAATGTCCTGCTTATGACAATTGTATCGTCCAAATACACCAGTACGTTTGGTTTTGGTTCAGGACTGAGTATCCTGTCGAGTAATCGTTGCGGACGCGGAATGCAAGCCGAACGGCATAACCTTGAAATGTAGCAGCCCTTTCCTTGGTACCGTGAATGCGGTCAATGGTCGGCTCGAGGGGGACAGTGGGATTTGCCAGTACCAGCTCTTTAAATCTAGAGTTGACAAATATTGAGCCCCGCGGAGCTTATGCAGTGTTGTCGTGATGTGTGGTAGTGGATATGCATCTTTTTCCGTTACTTCATTTAACTTGCGGAAATCTATGCAGAATCTGTGTGTTCCGTCTTTCTTTCTCACGATCACTACCGGTGAACTCCATGCGCTCCGCGATGGCTCAACTATTCCTTCCCGTAACGTGTCCTCCACCTCTTTATTTATCACCGCCTGCATTGCCGGATTTCGATATCTTTGCTTTATCGGTTTTGTATCTGTCAATTTTATATGATGTTGTATATATTGGGTTGTCGGCAAAGTCATGACACATTTTTGCAACAAATGGCGCTAGTTTATTTTTAGAAGTACTAGAGTCATTCACATCTATGTTATTGCTATGTCATTTGACAGCTGACAGTTCTAGCTTTATTTAAAAAAAAAAAAAAAAAAGAGATTTGATTGAGTTTTGGAGATTTTATAACAAATTGAAGATGGAAGACCAAACTGTATTTTTGCCATATATTACTGTTTTACTTCCGTAAAGGGAAGAACGCGCGTCAAGCTTGTGAAAAGTTGCGTAAAGTTTACGATGATAATGCTGTATAAGAACGTCAGTGCCAACGATGGTTCACGAAATTCCGTGCTGGTGATTTTGATCTCAAAGATGCTCCTTGGTCAGGGAGGCCTATCGAGGTTGATGACGATAAAATAAAGGCATTAATCGAGTCAAACCCACGTTACACGACACGAGAGATTGCAGAAACATTGAAGATCCATCATTCAAACGTTCACGACCATCTGAAGAAGCTGGGATATCTAAGCATGCTCGATATTTGGGTTCTTCATGAACTCAAAGAAGTTCATTTGATGGCGCGTATAAACATCTGCGATATGCTCATTAAACGTGAGGAAAACGATCCTTTTTTTAAGCGACTGATAACTGGTGATGAGAAGTGGATTATTTACAACAATGTGGTGCGCAACTGGTTTTAGTCCCGACGTGATGATTTGCCTCAAACGATCGAAAGCAAACATTCATCAGAAGAAAGTTATGCTCTCAGTGTGGCGAGATTTTAAAGGTGTCGTGTTTTTTGAGCTCCTACCAAGGAACTAAACAATCAATTCGAATATGTACTATCGGCAATTGGACAGTTTAAACGAATCCATCATCCAGAAACGTCCAGAGCTCGTTAATCGTAAAGGAGTTATATTCCATCACGACAACACGAGACCATACACAAGTTTGATAAAAAATTATTGGAGCTTGGATGGGATGTGTTGGCACACCCACCATACTCGCTTGACCTTGCGCCATCAGACTTCCACTTGTTTCGCTCTCTTCAAAACTCCTTGCGTGGTATACCGTTCAATTCAGATGAGGCTGTAAATCAGCACCCTGTTCAATTTTTCGCCAGGTCCTTCTATGAACGAGGCATTATGAAACTCACTGAAAGATGGCAAAAGGTTATCGAGCAATATATAATTGATTGAACTTTGTTCTTTATATAAATAAATGACCTTTGAAAAACATAGAAAAAATAGTCATGACTTTTCCGACAATCCAATAGTTTGCCGGTCCTTGTATTTGGTCGAATAGTTGTATTTTCCTTGCCAAAAAGCGTTTAAGTGTCTTGTCTTTCTGTTTTGTTCGTTGCGTCCCTTGTCTATGTCTATCGTGCATATGTTTGGCTGTTCTTTTGGAATCGTACGTGGCGGTGGCGGTAACGTCAATTGTAAGTCAGCCCATAATAGTAAGTCTGTCCCGATAATTATTGGGCACCCGAGATTTGGTAGAAATCTTTAATTGCCGTCGGTATTCTTGTTCTTGTATTTTCAATTTTACGTTTACTGCCCCTGTTATGTCTGTTGTCATTCCGTTGGCTAGTTCGTACGTTATCGTTCGTCTTTCTTATTGTTAGTCGTAGTTTTCGCGCTGTTTCTGGCTTTATGAACGATGTTTCTGACCAGCGCCTCTATTTTCTGTTCGTTTATCGTAACTGTAATGAACGGTCTCGGCGTGTATTTTATTATAATTGGATTTGTTGGGCCAAGTTTCTTTTTGGAACTAAAAATTTGAAGTTTTTGGTAACCGGCGCCGTGTCTTCGTTCGTAGGTCAGCAGGGGAGCAAGTTTCCGAGCAATATTGGTGTCATCTGTGAAACACGGTAGAGGCTTTGTAATGGTCTGGAGGTGTTTTGGTAGACTGTCGGTGGGCAATATTCAGAATTAAGGAAATAATGAAAAAAAAAAACAGTACTTGGAAATTCTACAATAGCAAATGTTGTCATCTGGGTCTCATATTTTAAGTAAAAAATTTATTTTCCAACACGACAATGACCCAAAATATTCCTCAAAAATCTGTAATGAGTATTTGAACGAGTTAAAAGAAGAGAATAAACTCAAAGTAATGGATTGGCCATCGCAATCCTCAGACCTCAATTCGATCAAGTTATTGTGGGACGAGCTCGACCAAAGCGTCCGAAAACAGTGCCCCACGTTTACGGAAACATTGTGGAAGATGCTTGAAGATGCGTGAAATAAAATCACGATCGAAACATTATTGCGAACGAAGACACGGTGCCGGTTACCAAAAACTTCAAATTTTTATTCATTACTCCATAAGACATTTTTCCAGTTTTCAATTGTCTTTGTATTTTTTTTCCCATTGCAACTTTTTTACTTTATTAATCTTCTTCAAAAGTGGTTTCTTAATCGCAATTCTTTCATGAAGACCTGTTCCTGCAAGACGATGTTTTACAATGGTGGTACTAATTGAAGTATCCTGATGTAAGTTAACGCGCGAAGCGATTTTCGATGCAGTTAAACGCCTGTTACGTTTGGAGCAAACCATCAAACTGTTAAAAAGGATGCCGAGGATTTGCAGAGCTGTCATTAAAAACAAAGGCACATTGACGAGGTCAAACTCTAATTAGACTTTTAATATTTGTTTTCTCATGTTGTGTATTACTTTTTACTTTTAAATATAAATATTTTCCACTTAAAATTTCTTAATTTTTTTTCCTTACAATAGTTTAAAATTTACGAATACTTATGGACGGTAGTATATATCGAGAGTAGTTTGATATGGAATTTTAACGGATTTTTTATAGGGTCGATATGATAAATAATTATATTAAAATTACAATACTCGTTAAATTATAATTGACATATAACGTCAGAATGATGTAATATTATGATATCAATCGGAGGTCATATAAATGATCATATGTAAAGTGGTTATCTTAACAACATGTGACTAAAAATGACTAATTTGAAACGTCAAAATAACGTGTGTTTGCTACTTGGGAAAGAAAATAATGTTTTTGCATTTCCAAATAATATAGATAGAATAGGATAGACGAGAAGAAAGGATAAATAACAAGAAAGTATAGAAAGGAAAGATACAAACTATAGATCCAAAGAATACAATATAAAGAATAGAACATAAGAAAAGAAACATAATGTATAGAGGGATAAAATGTGCATAGGCTCGAAATTACATCACTATTGTTGCCTCCTGCCATCTCTGCCTTTATGTCAAAATAAATTTAGCACGCAACTCGTATCCGATAGAATAAACATTTTTTAAAATTACTAAAAAACTAATTCTATTGTATGCGAGATATGTTGCAAAATTTATTGAGAAAAATTGTAATCTTCAATTTACTAACTGTGCAGATTACAACTCTGTGTCGCATTGAACTGAGTAGCTGTCAAAGAATCAAAGAGTAGATATGACAAATATGAACACCGTGGGAAAAGAGATCGACAATTATAATCAGGTAATTAAATTGGACTAATATTACCACATATTAATTTCCTTTTATGCAAAGTGTATCCTAGAACAACTTTCGGCACTCTTATAAAGGCATATTATAAATTGAGGTAAACATAAAAATCTTATATCGTTTTATATTATTCGCATTATTTATTGAGATATTAATTAAAGAAGATTTGCGAATTACATTACATGAGATATGATAGATAAGCTGTAGTGATGACATCTGCTATTGTGTATGCTTGTACATTAGGTCCAACTCAATAAAAAAATTCCTTCACCATTGTCCTAATATTTCTGTAGATTTTTAATTATTAATTAAAGGAATTGGCGAATAATTACATACGATAATATTATAATATTATAATTATCTTATTAGGAACTAAAAATCTTCAAAGTTATTAAGAAAAAAGGTAGAGCATTTTTTTATTCAATTTGATCTAATGTACAAACACACAACAGCATACATTACCACTATAGCTTATTTATCATATTGTGCGTCATCATTCAACAATCTTTTTTAATTAATATCTCGATAATTATTGGGAATATCACAAAATGGTATAGGACAGAGTTCGGAATTAGTTGCCTATTTCGACCGATTCTCAGAAGCTATGCCTTCTATCTTCCCTTTGCCGCGAGCGGGATATGAAAATGACGTTCGCGTTTCCAAGCTTGAAGCTGCGACTGGCCGCGACCATCACTTTCGCGGCCCGCTCGCGGCAAAGAGAAGGCGTAGCTCTCGAGAATCGGCCGAAATGGGCAATTCCGAGCTCTGGTATAGGACTTCACTTTAATCCATACTATGCTTTCACAAGAGCGTCGAAACGTGTTCTGGGATATCTTATATATATTTCTTTATATTTATAATTTTTTTGTATATATTTTTATTTTATGTAATTAACCCTTTCAAAACAGACTCATGGGTCAAATGTGTTCAAGCGATATCAAGTAAGAATTTACATACTAGATTTGAGGCTTTCACAGCCATTGATACAATGTCTAGGTATAGCTTCCGGAATGGAGCCGTGTCTTGAATCAGCGATATGCCGACGTTTCGCAAACGTTGCAGTTTGCATCATCAGGGCTGAGAACTCTGATACTGAGCTCTCTTGGTTAAAGGTAGTCCTTATAACATCCAGCATAGAGAAGAAAACATCTTCTTTTCTGAAAAATGCAGGTCTCCCTCTTCAAACTATCAAGTATTTAACCCCTCAAGATTCTTCAGCACCTAGACTCTACGGGAGCGGTGCACTTGGACACGGTGCCTTTGGACACAGCCAATCACAGCACCGTGTGATTAGAGACATTTGTAGGGTCCCTTGGAACAGCGACTTGTGATTGGACTGTGTCCAATTGCCCCGTGTCCAACTGATATACACCC